GTGGAATGTGTTTGGGGATGGTTCACCCACAGGTGATTGTTTCATTGGGTTCTGCTGTGAATTAATTTGACTCTTTGGCCAATTGGGGCCAAGCTCTGGAAAGAGTCACGAGTTTTCATTATTATCTTTTCATCTTCTATTATTATTATTATTATTATTATTATTATTAGTCAGCAATAGTAATAATAACAATGTTTCTAGATTATAGCATGTAACATCATATAGTATATTAATATAGTATATTAATTTATTATATAATATTATATTGTTTGTTATTTAATATATAATTTTTATTATTATGTATTAATTTTTTCATTATTATCTTTAAAAAAATCTTTTATAATCTTTTACGATTTGTCTGTATTCTTTCTGTATTCTTTAGCAGAGTTTAGCACAGCATTCTTTAATATCATACAAATCATAAAACAATAAATTAGCCTCCTGAGAACGCGGAGCCAGGTGCATCACTCCTCCTGCCACGGGGATCCCTGCAAGTGCAATCCTTTTGTGCTCAGAATCCCGGCAGGGAGAGGGGCTGGAGGGGGCACGGGATGAGCCAGCTGCTTTCCCTGGAACCCATCCTCCACTGCCCACCCTCCTTCGACCCCAAAAAACCCCACATCCTTCTCCTGTCAAAATAAAAAAAAAGAGGAAAAATTGTATCTTTTACAAACCCATCCCATACTCCATGAATTTTCCTTAGGACAATCCAACAGATCAGATGGAAAAACCCAACCAAAACATTGGAAAACCTTGGGAAAATGCTATTTAGTTCATTTTTTTTTGTTTATTTCTGTGTAAGGAGAGAAAAAAGAAGCACAAAATCATCTGAATAAAGAGAAATAGAAATCATATTAAAAATCTTTTAAAAAAATAGAAATCTTATAAAAATCTTAAATATAAAAAGAAAAATATTTTTCATCTGAAAAAGAAAAATAGAAATATTTTTCTATTCTATTTCTATTTTTCTGAAATAGAAAATTTGAAATATTCTTATAAAATATAGCCAAGAGACTGACAAATGGATAAAATCCTTTATTATCATTATTTATTTTTTGTACCTTTCCATTTATTCCAGAAAAACTTTCTCTCTCTCTCCCTCCCTCTCTCTCTATACATATATAAAAATCATTACTTCTTTCGGAATAAATCCTTAAAATCATTTATTTTAAAACAAACATTTTTTTTTTTGTACAGCACTAGTTAAATACATTTATTTATTCTCAGTTTTCTGCCAACGAATCACCCCAGAGAACATTCACAGTTTGGGGATCCATCCTGGCCCCTTCCATCGATTTCTCCTGCTGGAGGATGCTGAGGGTGGAGGAAGGCAATGAGGAAATGTGGAATTTTTTATTATTTGTGCTCAGACACGGCTTACAGGGATCCAAAATCCAATTTTACACCATTTGAGTGTCCAGATGTGCAGCACAGCTGGAAATCAGGTGGAAAAACCCAAACAAAATATTGGAAAACCTCGGGGAAAATGCTCCTTAATTCCATTTTTTTTCATCTTGTGTTTAAGGAAGAAGGGAAAAAAACCCATTTGTTTTGTCCTGGATCTCCAAAACCCAAAGGAATTTTGTTGTTTGACTTCTCCACATGGATCTGTTGGGCCAGGAAAGGAGGATCCATGTGGGAATGGAGGGATGGGATGGAATGAACTGCTCTGCCCCCAAGTGTTGTTGTTGTCCCAAAGCCTGACCTCGCTCTGCACATTGATTTAATTCTATTCCTTCACCCAACCATCAGCTGGCCAGACAAAAGAATACCAGGAATACACATTTCCTGAGGGCACAGCCAAAAATCCCGCTTTCTGCTAAGAAAAAAAAAAAAAAAAGGGAAAAAATTCCAAGAAAAACGAGTCCAAGACAAAGCAACGACTTCCTTTGGCCTGCCAGGAGCAGCGGCTGCTGCAGGACGTGGTGGATGGGAGAATCCATGAAATGAGGGGGAAAAAATGCTGGAAAACCACGGAAATTCCCAACATTTTCATGAAAATTCCAATTGGCGCTCCAAAACCTGGGAAATCCTGCCCAGGGATGGGGTTTTATAGGGATGGGGCATCCAGAGGGTTTCTCTCCCCCTAAATCCAGCCTAAAAGGGCTGGAATGTTATGCCAGGGTTGGAAAAGTGGGATTTAATTCCAGGATTTAATCCCTGCCAGCCTCCAGCCCCGTTTTTGGGTTTGGGTTTGTTTTTTTTTTTTCCCCCAGCTGTGGAGATCAGAGCGTGGCACCAAATATTTACACTCCAAGTGGGAATCAAATACCCATGAAATGCCTGGGATAAAAGGGGTTATCTGGAATTGGGGCTGCTGGGAGCTGATCAGTAACGGGGGGATTGGAACCCTCTGGAATTCTCTGGAATGACGTCAAGTTGGGGGGTTCTGGGCGTTATTCCAGAGGGGAAAAATAAAAAAAAAATCTGGCAAAAAATTCCTTGGGAAAGCTGGAATTCTAAAGAAAGGAATGTTCCACTCCATAAAAAAAAGTTTAGGAGGGAAGAAATTCCCGTTTTTCCCGGGTTTTGGGTGTTGCCAAATGTTGGGAATTCTCTCATGAGGTGGAAACCCTAACCCTAACCCCCACCCTTTTGGGGGGATTTCTAGGGAAAAAGAGAAAGGCTGTGCAAGGATAAACAGGAGCCTGCAGGGCTTTTCCTGATCCTGGGAATGCTGTCCTGGCTCTGTGGGATTCTCCCAGCAGTTTTCCTTGCCCTTCAGCAGGAATATTGGATCTGGATCTGAGTATCCCCCGTGGGAATGTGGCATGGCTCAGCTGGGCACCAGCGCCCCTGGAAGTTCATTCCCACTCTCAGGGTGTGGGAATGGGAAAAACGAGCAGGAAAACTGAGCAAAGAGAGGTCAGGGGTGTCCTGGGTGGTGCAGGGAGGGTTCCTGCCCTGATCCAGGCTCTGCGCCCCTGGGAACACCAGGATTCCTTCCTGCTGAGCTCCTGACAGGAGCCCTGGGAAGGGCAGCTCTGGTGCCAAGGAAATTCCTCTGTGGGAGGAAAGATGGCACTGGGAGAGCTCAGCCCGGCTCCAGCTGCAGGAGGGAACCACGGAAAAAAGGAACCAGGAAAAGAGGGAACCAGGAGAGACAAGGAAAAGAGGGAACCAGGAGGGACCAGGGAAAAATGGAATTAGGAGAGACCAGGGAAAAATGGAATTGGGAGAGACCAGGAAAAGAAGGAACCAGGAGGGACCAGGAAAAGAGGGAATCAGGAGGGAACAAGGAAAAAGGGAGTCAGGAGACACAAGGAAAACACGGCCCCGAATGCGTCACTGGGGGCTGGGGGCTGTCCCTGCTCTTCCCCATCCCCTGGAATCAATTAGGGAACAATTCGGGCTGGAAATACCGGGAAGGGAACAGAGCAGGGATGGGCAAACCTCAAACAATGCAGACGTCTGGAGACTCGTCTGGGACAGAGCTCTGGTGGCACCGGGGAGCTCCCGGGGAGCTCCGGGCGCTGGCACCGGCAGGAGCGCCCCGGGGAGCTCCAGGCTCGCCTCATTTTCCCTCCCACTGAGCATTTCCCAAGGACTGCTGGAGGAATCACTCCCTGCTCCAGGAGGGAACAGCCCCATGGAGAGACGAGCAGGAAAACTGAGCAAAGAGAGGTCAGGGGTGTCCTGGGTGGTGCAGGGAGGGTTCCTGCCCTGATCCAGGCTCTGCTCCCCTGGGAACACCAGGATTCCTTCCTGCTGAGCTCCTGACAGGAGCCCTGGGAAGGGCAGCTCTGGTGCCAAGGAAATTCCTCTGTGGGAGGAAAGATGGCACTGGGAGAGCTCAGCCCGGCTCCAGCTGCAGGAGGGAACCACGGAAAAAGGGAACCAGGAAAAGAGGGAACCAGGAGGGACCAGGGAAAAATGGAATTAGGACAGAGCTCTGGTGGCACCGGGGAGCTCCCGGGGAGCTCCGGGCGCTGGCACCGGCAGGAGCGCCCCGGGGAGCTCCAGGCTCGCCTCATTTTCCCTCCCACTGAGCATTTCCCAAGGACTGCTGGAGGAATCACTCCCTGCTCCAGGAGGGAACAGCCCCATGGAGAGCTGGAGCCCGGAGCCAAGTGCCAGTCCTGGTCCTGGGTGCCAGTCCCGGTCCCGGGTGCCAGTCCTGGTTTCCAGTCCCGGTGCCAGATGCCAGTCCTGGTCCCAGGTGCCAGTCCCAGCTCCAGGAGTCCGTGCCACATCCAGAGGGAGCTGATCCCCCAGGAGAGCCAAGCCCACGGCGTGAGCATGGCAGAGCAGAGGGGCTCCGTGCCCTGCTCACACCCTGCCAGGCTGGGGGGCAGAGCTGCGGCAGGGATGGATTTATCCCCGAAGTGTCTGGAGAGGGAAAACCCCCCTGGGGCAGCAGCAAAGCTCTGTGAGCACCGATCCTGCCCAGCCTGGGCACGGCTGAGGGGTTTGAGGGGCCGAGGGGTTTGAGGGGCCGAGGGGTTTGAGGGGCTCTGCGCTGCTCCCCGGGGCTGTTTCTGGTGCCCACAGCCGAGCCGGGGGATGGTTGGCACCTCTCCCCCTTCCCTGCGGGCACAGGCGGGCGTGAGCAGCGCTGCGGGATCGGGCTGTGCCACAGGGGGGGCTCAGAGCTGTGACAGAGGGGGACATGAGCCCTGAGAGCCCCCCGGGATTCCTCCTGCTCCGTGGGCTCTGTGCGGATGGGAATGGGGCTGCTCCATCCCCCCGTGCCCGGGAGGGGCCGGTCCCGCTGGGCACAGCCCTGCCAGGGGAGCTGCAGCCGTGCCAGGCCCTGCCCGGGCCCGGGACAGCCCAGCTTGGGAAAGGGACTGGGAGAGGCTGGGGGGAGCAGGGACAGCCCAGTTTGGGAGCAGGGATATCCCAGTTTGGGAGCAGGGATATCCCAGTTCGGGAGCAGGGACAGCCCAGTTCGGGAGCAGGGATATCCCAGTTTGGGAGCAGGGACAGCCCAGTTCGGGAGCAGGGATATCCCAGTTTGGAAGCAGGGATATCCCAGTTTGGAAGCAGGGACAGCCCAGTTTGGGAGCAGGGACATCCCAGTTTGGAAGCAGGGATATCCCAGTTTGGAAGCAGGGATATCCCAGTTTGGGAGCAGGGATATCCCAGTTTGGGAGCAGGGACAGCCCAGTTTGGGAGCAGGGATATCCCAGTTTGGAAGCAGGGATATCCCAGTTTGGGAGCAGGGACAGCCCAGATTGGGAGCAGGGACTGGGAGAGGCTAGGGGAGCAAGGGGGAATTCTGGCTGCTCCACCCTCAGCTGGATTTGGGTACCAAAACAGGGAGGGGAAAGGGGGTTCTGCAGGCAGAGGTGAAATACTGGGGGGCTGCTCTGGTTCCTGTGCCCAGATGTGCCCCAGATGTGCCCCAGATGTGCTCCAGGTGCTCCCAGTGCCAGGCCAGGCCGTGCCCAGCAGTCCTAACGTGGTCTCCCAAAAAACCAGGGGGTGCAGGGCAGCTTGTCTGAGCAAAGGGGCATTTCCTGCAACTCCTGCCTGGGCCAAACCCCGCAGATCCCCACCCTGAACCTCCAAACCCCACAAATCCCCAACCCTGAGCCCCCAAACCCCACAAATCCCCCCCTGATCCTCCCGGGCAGCACAGGCTCCTCCCTGGAACTCCTCTCGGAGGGGACAACACCAAGACAAGGGGGGGACAAGGCCACAGGTGCATGGAGGGCAGCTCCCGGGGGTTTGGGTCCTGCTGGAGCCGGGAATTCTGCCGAGGGTCGGGTGGGAGCCGCTCCTTTCTCAGCGCTTCCATCGCCATGGCAACCAGGGCAACGCCAGATCCCGGTTTAAAATATGCTCTGCCTCCTGTTCTTGCCGCGGGCTGGGGAGGGGACACAGACACAGGGCTCAGGGGGGCACGGGGGGCTCTGCAGGGTGCTGGGGGGCATTCCGAGCCTGCGGCATTCCCAGAGGAGCCGGCTGTGCCTCAGGAGATGTGCCAACAAAGATGCCCAGGGGTGATTTGTGACTGAAGAGGCGGCAGGGAGCAGGTGTGGGTTTGTCCTGCCCAGAGCTGGGGCAGATCCCGGCCCTGGGCAGCCCTACCTGAGTGCTGGAAGGCTGAGCCTCGCTGGCCGGGGTCCTTCTGGAGCTGGATCTCCTTCAGGGAGAAGATGGAGGCAGCTGGGCAGAGGGGGCAGAGGGAGAGGGGTCAGTGCTGCCCCAGGGGGGCACCTCCACGGAGCTCCTCTGTCAGCGTCCCACCCCATCTCAGCCCACCCAAATTATTATTATTATTGTAATTATTATTATCACCATCATTATCATTATTACTTCCATAATTGTCATTATTATTATAATTATAATTATCATTATCATTATTACTATTACTATTATCATTATGTTATTTTTTGTTATTATCATTAATTGTATTATTATTACTATGACTATTATTATTTTTATTATTAGTTATTATTCATTATTATTGTAATTATCATTAATGTTTTTAATTATTAGTATCATTGTTATTATTTGTTATTACAGTTATTGTCATTAATGGTATTACTATTACTATTATTATTAGTTATTATTAGTTACTATTTCTTATTATAGTTATTATCATTAATTGTATAATAATGACTATTACTATTATTATTAGCTATTATTATAATTAATTTTAAATAATATGTTGTTTTGTTATTATCAATAATCTTAATATTAATATTAATATTGATATTAATATTAATATTAATATTAATATTTATTCCTCCTCGCTCCCACAGCCATCAGCTCCTGCCCACCCTGCTGCAGAGGCTCCTCTGAGGGGCAGGGGGGTGCTGGGGGTCCCTCTGGAGCCCTTTGGGGGGCAGCAGCACTTACTGTCAGGCAGGAGGTGCACGCGCTCGCCCAGGCTCCTGAAGTAGGGGTGCTGCAGGGCTGCCTCGGCTGAGATCCGGCCCTTGGCTCTGTACTGCACAGAGCCCCGAGAAAAGCCATCAAAACTCATTTACACCACACATCTGGGCACCTCTGTGCATTTACACCACACATCTGGGCACCCCTGCACGTTTATATCACACATCTGGGCACCTCTCTACATTCACCTCACACATTTGGGCACCTCTCTACATTTGCCTCACACATCTGGGCACCTCTGCCCATCCCAGCAGTGCCACCCACCCACCCTGTGGCCCTGCCCTGCTCCAAGTGTCCCTTCCCTTCCCTTCCCTTCCCTTCCCTTCCCTTCCCTTCCCTTCCCTTCCCAGCACTCACCAGGAGCAGATTTGTCAGCAGGTCAACGCCTTCCGAGTCCAGCCTGGGAGAGAGGGGAAATAAAACCAAAACTGCACCAAGGTTGCACCAAGGAGGCTGCAATAACCACAGGGAGGGACGAGTGGCACTGCAGCCTCGAGCCCCACGAGGAGAAAACGAGCCTGGGCTGCCCGGGCTGCCCTTCACACCCCTCAAACCGCCCAATCTTTATCTGCCCCTGCTCCTGGGGTACCTTGGGGCGTGATTTAGCAGTGGCTGGGCTCGGTACTGGCTGAAGTTGTAAGCCTTGAACTCCTCGTTGGACGTTATCCCAGGCCAGGTGTCCTCGGTGGGGGTTCCTGTGGGGGCAGAGGGGACCTGCCATGGGCACTGGGTGTGATGGAAATCTTCAGAGTGTCCCCGAGAGAGGGCACGGATGTCCCCAGGGGCTGGCAGTGCCAGCAGGGAGCCTCTCATCCTTACACCTGTGCCAGCCTGGAGGGGGCTGCAGGCAGCTTCTGTCCATGCCAGCTGACCCCTGCCCACCCCAGCCATGCGTGCCCACCTCAGCCCATGTCAGCCCATCCCTGCCTGTTCCATCCCACCCCTTCTGACCCCATCCCACCCCTTGTCATTCCTGCCTGCCCCATTCCATCCTCATTCATTCCTGCAACGCCAGTCCACCCCATCCCACCCCTGCTCCCTCCTTCCCACTGCATCCCACCCAACCCTAACCTCATCCCACCCTATCCCTGTTCATCCCGTCCCATCCCATCCCATCCCATCCCATCCCATCCCATCCCACCGCGGGCAGGCAGTGCCGGTGCCGCTCCCGGAGCCGTTCCCGGTGCCGCGGGCAGGCAGTGCCGGTGCCGCTCCCGGTGCCGCTCCCGGTGCCGCGGGCACGCAGTGCCGGTGCGGTTCCCGGAGCCGCGGGCAGGCAGTGCCGGTGCCGTTCCCGGTGCCGTTCCCGGTGCCGCGGGCAGGCAGTGCCGGTGCCGCTCCCGGTGCCGCTCCCGGTGCCGCGGGCAGGCAGTGCCGGTGCCGCTCCCGGTGCCGCTCCCGGTGCCGCGGGCAGGCAGTGCCGGTGCCGCTCCCGGAGCCGTTCCCGGTGCCGCGGGCAGGCAGTGCCGGTGCCGCTCCCGGAGCCGTTCCCGGTGCCGCGGGCAGGCAGTGCCGGTGCCGTTCCCGGTGCCGCTCCCGGTGCCGCGGGCACGCAGTGCCGGTGCGGTTCCCGGTGCCGCGGGCAGGCAGTGCCGGTGCCGTTCCCGGTGCGGTTCCCGGAGCCGCGGGCAGGCAGTGCCGGTGCCGTTCCCGGTGCCGTTCCCGGTGCCGCGGGCAGGCAGTGCCCTCGCGCGGGGACGCGGGCTCAGCGCACGGCGCTCACCCAGCAGGCGGAAGATGAGGTGCAGCTCCTCCTTCACCGTGGAGCCGGGGAACATCGGCCGGCCCGTCACCATCTCGTAGTGGATGCAGCCGACCCCCCTAAAGCGCCGGGGACACCCCGGGGTCAGGAGGGACAAACCCGCGGGTGGCGCCGGTGGAGCGGGATCGGCTCCTGGAGTGGATCCGCTCCCACCGGGGTGGGGATGGCACGGACTGGACCCCGAGTCCCAGGGGATGGGGAAAACAGCTCTGGGAGAGCCCTGGGACATAGGGACAGGGAAATCTGCACCGGGAGAGCCTGGGGACATGGGGACAGGGAAATCTGCTCTGGGAGAGCCTGGGGACATAGGGACAGGGAAATCTGCACCGGGAGAGCCTGGGGACAGGGAAAACAGCTCTGGAAGAGCTGGGGGACATGGGGACAGGGAAAACAGCTCTGGGAGAGCCCTGGGACATGGGGACTGGGAAAGCAGCTCTGGGAGAGCCCTGGGACATGGGGACAGGGAAATCTGCTCTGGGAGAGCTCTGGGGACAGGGAAAACAGCTCTGGGAGAGCCTGGGGACACGGGGACAGGGAAGTCTGCTCTGGGAGAGCCTGGGAACATGGGGACAGGGAAATCTGCACTGGGAGAGGCCTGGGGACACGGAGACAGGGAAAACAGCTCTGGGAGAGCCTTGAGGACAGGGAAATCTGCACTGGGAGAGCCCCAAACCCTCTGGTGTAAAAAGCATCAGGGGACAAGAACAGCTCTGGAAGAGCCCCCAAACTCTGATCTTAACAGCCCCACAGAAAACTGCTTTCAGGAGCGCCAGGAACAGGGAAATCTGCACTGGGAAAGCTCTGGGGACAGGGAAATCTGCCCTAGGAGAGCCCCAAACCCTCCGGTGTAAAAAGCCTCAGGGGACAGGGAAAATGTTCTGGGAGAGCTCTGGGGACAGGGAAATCTGCACTGGGAGAGCCCCAAACCCTCCGGTGTAAAAAGCCTCAGGGGACAGGGAAAACTGTTCTGGGAGAGCTCTGGGGGTGGGGAAAACAGCCCTGGGAGAGCCCCCCACCCTCTGTGGTACCCAGCACGGTGAGGATGAGGATGGAAACGCCCGACCCCTCCTGGAGAGCCCGGGGAGCTCGCGGGGAGCTCGGTGCCTCACCACATGTCGATGGGTGTGGAGTACTCGGTGGATCCCAGCAGGACGTCGGGGGGCCGGTACCAGAGCGTCACCACCTCGTTGGAGTAGGTTTTTGTGGGGACAGACTTGGCCCTGGCTAATCCTGAGGGCAGGAGGGACACACATCAAGGAGCTGCCCCTTTTTTCCCAATCCTGCATCGCCCCTGGAGGGCTTCACCTACCAAAATCAGCCAGCTTGAGCTCCCCTCGCTCGTTGATGAGCAGGTTCTGGGGTTTGAGGTCTCGGTGCAGGATTTTCCTGCCGTGGCAATAAGCCAGGCCACGGAGCAGCTGGAACATGAAGATCTGCAGGGAGGAGGAGGAGGATTTAAGAGGAGGGTGCATTTAGGACTAAAACTCATCCTGCTTTGAGGAATCTGGTTGTTGTGGGCAGGAAAGACCCCTCGGAGCTGTGCTGTGGGAAGTGTCACGGAATGGGACGAGCGAAGTGTGCAGGTGCAGTGATTTTATTTGGGGTGGAAACGCTGGGGGAGCCTCAGGAAGGGCAAAGGGAGCAAGAACTGAAGGGTGAAGGGACCTCCAGCCTCCCCCAGCCCCACAACCCCCCCACCCAGGACGAGGAACAGGGGAGGGGTCCCTGCATGCCCCTCACCTTCACATTGTGCACACTCATCAGGTTCCCGCAGTTCTCCAGGTACTGCTTGAGGTCGTTGTCCTGCAGCGGGAAGAACACGTCAGTCTGTCCTTCCCTCGTCCCCCCAGCCCCCAGAGGAGCCCCCAGACCCACCAGGTACTCGAAGACGAGGGTGAGGCAGCGCTCGGTGTGGATGATGTCGTGCAGGGTGACGATGTTGGCGTGCTTGAGGTTCTTCAGCAGCGACACTGCGGGGACAGCGGCGTTGGGGCAGCAGGACCCGGGGCTGGGCACGGGCACAGCCACCCCAAACCCTCCTGGGAGCCTGGGGGAGGCCCCTCCCGGCCTCACCTTCCCGGATGGCCGTGCACGGAGCGCCCTCCTCGTGCTCCAGGCGGATTTCCTTCAGCGCCACCAGGTTCTCCGTCAGCTTGCTGCGGCCCTTGAACACCGTGGCGTAGGTGCCCTGGCAGGGGACAGGGGACAGGGGACATTTCCCAGGGTGGCACAGCACTGGTGTCCCCAAAACATTTGGAGGAAGGACCATTTGAGGTGACAGCAGCAGGGCTGAGCTCCACGAGAAAGACTCGCTCTGAAAATTTCTGGATATTGAAGAGTTTTGCCCTTTGTGCTTCGAGCTGCCCTTTGAGTTTCATTGAATTCCTTACAGGGGTGTCACAGACTACTCACCTCTCCCAGTTTGTCCAGTTTAATGTAGGTTTCCAGCTTCCCAAAGCCAATATCTGACTGTGAGAGAGAAAGGAAAACATCACTGGGGAGGAGGGAGCCTCACCCAGGGATGGCTTCACCTCCAGAAGGGTTTCCAGGGACACTGGGCAGTGACAATTGGGATTTTTACTCCATTTACTGCCCAAACCCTCTGTGTATCCCGGGAAAAGCCGTTCTGAGCAGGGGAGTGAAGGTGCTGGAACCCAAGTTGCTGCACAACCCCCAGAGCCACATTCCTTATTCATGAGGGGCTCATGAATATTAATGACACATCGCCCTGGCTTTGTTTTATTGATCAGACAGCACAGGCAGGTAAATTCCAGCTCTCCTTCCCCCTTCCCTCCTCTGAAAGGGCACCTTGGGTCCCAAAATGCCTCCTGAGGCCTGGCTGAGGTACCTGGGCACCTCTGGGCACACCTGGTGTCTGCACATGGAGATTTTTCTCCTGCTCTGTTGTACACAGTGTTTTTGCTCCTATTTCTGCTGCTGCAGCAAAGGAAGGGAAATGCCACCACTGGAGCCAAGGCTGATTCATTATTTATCCACATTTGCATTTCGGCTGAGCTGCAGGAGGGTTTCCCTCTCCTGCTTTGGGAAGGAGCCAGGCTGAGAGGGCGGCCAGGTGTGCACAGGGGAGGGAGAAGGTGGGAATGGCCCAGCAGGTGCAGGGGAAGGGATGCAGATCTCAGAACTGTGGGATTGCTGAGGGTGGAAAATCCCGGTGGGATCATCGAGTCCCAGCTCTGCCCAATCCCCACCCTGAGCACTCAGTGCCACCTCCAGGGATGGGCACTCCAAACCCCCCTGGGCAGCCCCTTCCAGCCCTTTCCATGAGGAATTCCTGCTGATGTCCAACCTGAGCCTCCCCAGCCCAGCCTGAGGCCGTTCCCTCTCCTCCTGTCCCTGTTCCCTGGGATAAGATCCCAAATCCCCCCCGGCTGTCCCCTCCTGGCAGGGAGTTGTGCAGAGCCACAAATTCCCCCTGAGCCTCCTTTGCTCCAGGCTGAGCCCCTTCCCAGCTCCCTCAGGACTCTCCAAACCCTTCCCAGCTCCCTCAGGACTCTCCAAAACCTTCCCAGCTCCCTCAGCTGCTCCCGGCGCTGCTGGGGCTGTGCAGGCAGGGCTGGGAAGGGGCAGGGACACGAGGGGACCTCAGTGGCACCTGGAGGAGCTGGCACAGCGGGACACGCGGGGGATGCCGTGCCTGGCACTGCCCCCTCTGCTCGGTGCCACTTACGAGGGAGGCCCGGCGGGACATCCTGCTCAGGGGCTTGGGCAGCTCCAGGCTCTCCATCTGCAGCTTCTGCAGGAACTCGGGGGGCAGCCGGATGTCCATGGGCAGCGAGAGGCGCTTGCTGACGTCCTGCAGGGAGGGGACAGAGCACAGGGCGCTGACACGAGGACTTTCGGGGGGAAGAGAGCGGGCAGTGCCATGTCGGCATGATATTTTCTGGGAATGTTGCAGTGTGATTTCATGGTTTACCCCAGAACCCCGGGTTTCTCCCCTGAAGTTTCCCTCCCAGGTGTGTCAATCACCTCTCCTCTCCCCCCCCTGACCCCTGCCGAGCACTGTCTGTCAATCCTGGAATTCTAGAAGGGAATTGGGCAGATTCCAAAGATGCCCCCCAGGGCATCCAGGTGTCCTTTGTCCCTGAGCCCTCCTCTCCCACCTGGCTGGTGGCTCCCTATCCCTTCCCTCTCCCCCAGGTAAAAAGGGCAAGGACACCACGTGCCCGGGCAGTTCTGTTGGAGGAGTTGCTGGATTCAGATGCCTGTGGCCCAAAATAAAAACTCTGGATTGAAACCCTCCATCAGAACCGACTCCTTCCTCCACCATCGCCCTAAAGCTTCCCCGGCACAGGGAGCCTGAGGAGCGACCCTCGACCAGAGGAAGCTCCATCCCGGAGCTCTGGCACGCCTGGGCTTGTCTCCACACTTCCAGCTGTGAGCCACAGCTAGCCAAAGTGTCTCTGGGGCGAAACACCACGGCTGCCACTGTTTGGTTCAGCTGCAGGGGACAGACAAGCCAAGGCACGCCCCGTCCCAGTATTGGTAACACCAATATGGAAAAATCCTCTTTGCCCAGGATTCTTCTCCTGGGAAGCTGAGAAGCCTCAGAGAAAAATGTAAATAATAATTGTCCGATTTGCTTCTCCAGTTTTGCTGCTTTGGAATGTGGCAGGTGCGCGTTTGGTTCCATGTGAATTGTTTTTACTTAATGACCAATCAAAGCCAGCCGTGCTGGACTCGCTGGTCAGTCACGGGTTTTTATTATTCATTTTTTTCTAGCCTTCTGATGTATCTTTTCCTTATAGTTTAGTATAGTTCTAGTATATAACTTCATATAATATAATGTGAAGTCATATAATATAACGTAATTTCATATGATATAATATAATTTCATATGATATAATATAATTTCATATAATATAATTTCATATAATTTAATATTTCATATAATATAATGTAATGTAATGTAATATGATATAATATACTATTATATAATGTAATATAATATAATATAATTAATGTAATATAATTAATGTAATATAATATAATTAATATAATATAATTAATATAATAAATATAATATAATATAATATAATATAATATAATATAATATAATATAATATAATATCAGCCTTCTAAGAATATGCACTCAGATTCATCTCTTCCCTCGTCCTGGAACCCGCACAACCACCACAGTGCCACTCAAGGGAAGGGGGTGGTGGCACACGGCCAGCGCCCCGCGGGAGTCACAGCATGTCAGGGCCCGTGTGTGACACTGCCACGTCCCAAGCCGCAGCCAGCCAGCGGGAGGTGACACCCCGCTGTCCCCAGGTCCCCCGGCACTTGCCTCCATGGAGCAGCGGCGCTGGCCGTGGTTGCGGTAGCGCACGGCGGCCACCGGCGACCGGCCGTGTCCCTCCGGCGGGGACACCGGGCTGCCGTCAGCTGCCACCTCCCTGCCCAGCTGTGCCAGCTGCAGGTGTCCCTGAGCCAGGTCTGGGGACGAAAGGAAAGCAGAGTGAGCTGCGGGAGGGGTGGCAGGAGCGCCGAGGAGGGAGGGCAGGGCAGGGATGCTCCGGGGATGGGGGAATCTCTTCTTCCTTCTCTATGTCCACAGGGAATTCTGCGTTCTGCTCTGGATTCCTGGGGCGTCAGGAAATGCTGAAATCGCTTTAGTACCAGGAGTCCTGTCCCGTTTTTAACAGGATGATGCCAGGGGCTGCTCCCGAGGAGGCAGCACCAAACTGGGCGTGCTGGGAGCCAGGATGGAGCACTGGGGGAGAAAAGGATCAAGCAGGACGGAGCAGCCCATCCCTCCCTTCTCCCAGCTTTGCAGCCATGCTCCAAAAACCCCAAAAATCCCCAGAAATCCCTGCAGACGTTCCCCGGAGCGAGGGGAGCAGTGCAAGTCCCCCGGGAGCGCGCCAGGCTGAGCCCTGCCCTGTCCCTGCCCTGTCCCTGCCCTGTCCCCGGGGCTCAGGCGACAATCCGGGCTCCGGGGATGATCTCACGGCTGAGGAGCGGCACGGAGGGAGGCAGGGCTGATTTTCACGGGGCGCTGAGCAGGGCTGGGACCTGGCTGCGCTTTGCTCGGCTGACGGATGAGAGGTGGCAGGCAAGTGACCTGGCAATGCCATGGGTTTGTGCCACGGGCACGGAGCTGGGGGCTGCCCAGCCCTCACCTCCCTCCGTGCCAGGGGGGTTGAGAGGGGCTGAAACGGCGCCAGGGCTTTTGGGCACACAGTAAAACCCCTCCTCTGCTCCCCGTCCCTCTCCCTCCATCTGTTTTTACAGCAGCAATCAGGAAACGTCCCCTGAATTAACCACAGGTATGAGAATAATGTGGATTAATTCAACCGGACCGAATCTTTTTAACTTCCTCGTTTGCCGAGCGAATTGCAATCAAGGAAAGCAAAGGACATTTAAGGTCTGACTGGACGGAGCCTGAGTAACACCCTGGAAATGTAATTTTGGGTGAATTTGTGCTGTTCCCACAGGTGAAACAAAACCAAAGCTGGGTAGAAGGTGCAACCTGCAAGCCAGCAGCTCTGACTCCAGTGGATCAGAGACAAACTCTTTGTCATATTTGATGTAAAATCAGAGATAAATCCACAACCCGGACACTCCAGTGTGAGAGGAATGGAGGATTTGTCTTTCCAAACAAGCTGTGGGTGTGCTGGTAGATAAAATCAGCACTGAGAAATAAACAATGGGAAGGATTCCACGGATTGATGAATGGAAAAAGATACTTGCTTTTACAAATAAACTTTAGGTTTGATGATAAATGAAACTGGACATTGAAAGATGTAAGAGACAACGGGGAAAAAACCCTAAATTCCATAAGAATTAAAAACTAAAAGGGAGGGTTGTACATTAGAGGGAAATCTCTGGTATCAGGTGTTTCGGGAAGTCTGAATCTCTCAAGTACCTCAGAAATGGGGAAAGAGAGAGGGAAATTGGGATAAAAAGGAGGCTGCATCCTCCAAAAATGGCAGAGACCCCCGGGAATGCCCCATGGCCTCTCCCTTTATTGGAATAAAGTCAAAGCACTCCTCTGTCTCTTCTTTGGACATACATCTCTGATCGTTGTGGATGAATTTCCCTAACAAGTGGATGTTTCCTAACAAAATAATGAGGAAAGGAGGTAAAAATTCACAGAAAGCTGGCAGAGGTGAGGGGAGAGGGGTCTGGGCTGCCCTGGGGCGGGGATGTGCCAGCCCAGCCCTCCCTGCCCTGCCCTGCCACCGGGAGATTCCCAATCCCAAAGGGCTGGAGCTGCCCCCGGGGCTTGCAGGACCCTGCAGGGAGCTCGGGGTGAAGCTGTGAGCTGGCAGGACCTTGTAGGGAGCTCAGTGTGAGGTTGTGAGCTTGCAGGACCTTGCAGGGAGCTCAGTGTGAGGCTGTGAGCTTGCAGGAAGCTCAGTGTGAGGCTGTGAGCTTGCAGGGAGCTCAGTGTGAGGCTGTGAGCTTGCAGGACCCTGCAGGGAGCTCAGGGTGGAGCTGTGAGCTTGCAGGACCTTGCAGGGAGCTCAGGGTGGAGCTGTGAGCTGGCAGGACCTTGCAGGACCTTGCAGGGAGCTCAGGGTGGAGCTGTGAGTGTGCAGGACCTTGCAGGGAGCTCATGGTGGAGCTGTGAGCTGGCAGGACCTTGCAGGACCTTGCAGGGAGCTCAGGGTGGAGCTGTGGGCGGGCAGAATTCATTCCACACGAATTCCGGGGAGCCCTGACACAGAACAGAAGGAGGCTGCTGCCATATCAAAGAGAAGGAAAGCAGTGGGGTTGTGAGCTTGCAGGACCTTGCAGGGAGCTCAGGGTGGAGCTGTGAGCTTGCAGGACCTCGCAGGACCTTGCAGGGAGCTCAGGGTGGAGCTGTGAGCTGGCAGGACCTTGCAGGACCTTGCAGGGAGCTCAGGGTGGAGCTGTGAGCTGGCAGGAGCTGGCAGGACCTTGCAGGGAGCTCAGGGTGGAGCTGTGAGCTGGCAGGACCTTGCAGGGAGCTCAGGGTGGAGCTGTGAGCTGGCAGGACCTTGCAGGACCTTGCAGGGAGCTCAGGGTGGAGCTGTGGGCGGGCAGAATTCATTCCACACGAATTCCGGGGAGCCCTGACACAGAACAGAAGGAGGCTGCTGCCATATCAAAGAGAAGGAAAGCAGCCACAGGCAGCCCTTTTATAAATACACTTAAACTCCTCCTCTGCCAAAACCAGCTTTGATCTCCCAAGGAAAGGGGCCAGGACCCTCCTCTGCCTGCCTGCCTTCCAACTCTCATTCCTTTGCTGAGTGTGAGCTCTCCTCTCCAGGCTCTGAGCTCGGGTTCTTCATCCTCCTTCCTCCCCCTCATCATCATTGCTTCAGGGTTTGGTGCTCCCCAGGTCAGAGCTGGCTCTGGTCTATCCCTTTCCAGCCCAGACACTGAATTTTGGGTGGTCTGGGAGGGCAGAACAGGCTGTAGGTGTTTGGGGGCTGCTGCTGGACGCCCCCAGCTCTTATCAAAGCCACCAAGCCCTGATCCCTCCGTAAAATCAGACTCAGGCTCCACCAAGGTGACATTGCTGGTGACAGGATGTGTCCAGGCTGGAAAGCTGTTTGATTTTCCAGCCTGGAAAAAATAAAAAACAAACCCAAGCTGTTTTCCCTCCTTTTATCAGCATCTCTGGGGGTGAGGTTGTGAGAATGACGGGATGGGGAGGCAGGGCTGGGATTTCTCACCAGGTGGGGCAGCTTTGTCCCCTGCTTGTCCCCTCACAGGAGCCAGAGCAGCTCTGGAGCAGCCTGGGATGGTGGAACTGTGCTCACTGCAACGGGAGCAGCTTTGGGGTCCCTTCCAAGCCAAACCATTCCCTGATTTTGTGATTCCTGAGGAGGCCTGGCCTCCTCCTGCTGCCCAGGGATGGGTCCAGGCACTCAGAGCCACCAAAGTTTGGGATCTGCAGCCTGGGAACGCTGGGAGCCAGGGATTTCTGAGGCTGGAAGGAAAAGGAACTCCAGGCAATTCCCTGAGGAGCCCCAGGAGGTGAGGAAAGGAGAGCTGAGTGTTGATCCTTGCTGGCATCTCTGGAGCAGTGTTCACCTGAGTGGGTGTTCACCAGGATGGGCTCTGGACCGTGGGGACACAGGGAGCCCAGGGACAGCCCCAGAGATGCTGAAGGAAGGGAAAAGCAAAGCTGTTTGAGGCAGAGGAGCAGCACAGGAGCAGCTGCAGGCTCAGCTCTGCTCCCCACAGCTGCACCAAAGTCACTTTTCCCCTCTTCTCTTTGGTTCTCCCGCTGGAAAACGGGCCCCAAGCCCCTGGAGAGATCCAAACTCAGCTCGGGACTGCCCACGAGCCCTGTGAGAGGCTGGTGCACATCTCGGTGATGGAGCCAGCCCTGGGCCTGGCCACAGGCTCACACTGCTCCTGTTCTCCCCTGGCTACCTCAGCACCAAGCCCACGAGCCCAGGGGGGCTGGCAGACCCTGCTCGACCCTTTTGCCACCCAAGGGCAAAGGAAGAGCTTGAGATGTCTCATTAAAGCAGAATAAAAATCACCTCTGGGGTTTGCAGAGGAGATAAGGAGCCCAGATCCCACAGCAGTGCCCAGGACTTCCTCAGCCCTGCCCCATTTTATCCCCACAGCTCCTGCACGGCTAATTAACTGCTCAGGTCTAATTACCGCTCTCACTGAGGGCTGCAGGCGTGTGGGAGTGAGGCAGGAGCCCCGGGGTGCTGCTGGGGTGTCTGCAGAGATGAGGAAGAGCCTGGGGAGGGAGGGAGGGAGGGAAGGCGGCTCTGGAGGAGCTTCCAGCATCCTCGGGCAGCCTGGCTGGCACGGCCGGGCCCTCCCCGCCGGGCAGCGCCGGTGCCAGGCACTGCCACCAGGGCTCAGCCCCCTTCAGAGAGGGCAAACAGAGCCCGAACGGGAGCTGAGGGCACGGCAAGGGCTGCGGCACAGCTGGCAGGAGCCCAGCCCGGCTCTGCCCGGCTCCCTGAGCCCAGCCCGGCTCTGCCCGGCTCCCTGAGCCCAGCCCGGCTCTGCCCGGCTCCCTGAGCCCAGCCTGGCTCTGCCCGGCTTGCCCAGCTCTCTGAGAGCTCTGCCCGGCTCCCCACGTTCTGCCCAAGCTCTGCCCAGCTCCTCAAGCCCAGCCCAGCTCCCCGGGCTCTGCTCAAGCCCTGCCCAAGCTCAGCCCAGCTCCCCAGGCTCTGCCCAAGCTCAGCTCGGCCTGCCCGAGCACGGCTGCCCTGGCCGGGCTGCTCCCAGCGCCTGCAGCATCCCCGAGCCTGCCCCAGCCTGCTCCGGGCTGTGTTGGCACAGGGGATGTGCCTGCTTTGGGTTTAACCCCTCATCTCCCTGGGCCCTGCTCCGGGCTGTGTTGGCACGGGGGATATGCCTGGTTTGGGTTTAACCCCTCATCGCCCTGGGCTCCGTGCTCCGGGGCTGTGTTGGCACAGGGGATGTGCCTGCTTTGGGTTTAACCCCTCATCGCCCTGGGCTCCGTGCTCCGGGGCTGTGTTGGCACAGGGGATGTGCCTGCTTTGGGTTTAACCCCTCATCGCCCTGGGCTCCGTGCTCCGGGGCTGTGTTGGCACAGGGGATGTGCCTGCTTTGGGTTTAACCCCTCATCTCCCTGTGTGCTGAAAACCAACGTGCAGGGAGGGGCAAAGGCAGCCCCAGCGAGCCCCGGGTGCCGTCCAGGACAGAACGGCCCCTTTGGCTTTGGGAACATCAGCCTGGAGCCCCCACAGGGGTCACCCCCTCTTTTGGGGACGCAGGGGGAGATCCCACTCTTTCCTGCACTCCACCTTAACCACAGCTCCCCATTTTGTGCAAATTCCCTTCCCTCCCCATCCGGCTTTCCTGGTGAAGGATAAGTCTCTCTGCCGCTTTAATGCCGAGGTGTTATTCACCCCCAGAGAACAAGGGAACACTTCCACACACCCCAGAGTGCCCGGGGGAGGGCTGGAGAGGCTCTCACCCACCCCAGGTGGGCCTGAGCAGGCAGCCAGGGGCTCCTCACCTTCGTTCCTCTGGTTGTTGAGCTGGTTGAACTGCTCCGTGAACTCCGTCAGAGACTCCTCGATGGTCTCCGTGCGCGGCACCGAGAGTGAAAACCTCCTCTTGAAGTTTTTCATCTTGTTCATCTTGCCTCGTGCTGCCAGGGACGGCAGAGCCCTGTGGGGAAGGGGACAGCAGGCTCAGAGGGCTGGACAACACCGGGATGGGACCCCAGCCCCACAGCTCCTGGTTTTTGGGGTTGGCAGCATCCTGACCCCAACTTTCACCCCACAGCTGCTGTTCTTTGGGGTGGCAGCATCCTGACCCCAGTTTCTACCCCACAGCTGCTGCTCTGTGGGGTTGGCAATGTCCTGACATGAATTTTTCCCCCAGGGCTCCCTGGGGACATCCCTTCTCTGGGTCAGAGCAGAAGAGGAGCCACAGAAATTGGGTTCCTCGTGGTTTTAAGAGCTGGCTTTGGTCAGGAGGTGCAGGAAGGGTGGGGGTTTTTTTGAGCCCAGAGCAGGGCTGTGCACACTCAATCACAGGCTGTGCCGTATGGCATCCTTGGAAACTCCAGGAATGCCTGGACAGGGGAGAAAGCACGGTGAAAACAGAAGGAAAGCAAGAAAAAGACAAAACAGCAATGGAAAAGACTCAGTCTCGCGTTTCTCACTGGAAAAGGAGACTCCTCTACCCCCACTGGCCTCGGCTTTGCCCTTGCAACAAAGACTTCCTGAGCCAGCAGCGAAGTGCTGAGTGGGTGCAGCACGGGCAGGGGGGATCCCCCGAGTCCCAGCCCCGGGAGATGCTCCGAGATCCCAGCTCCATCCCAGCTCCACCCCAGCTCGGTCCCAGCTCCATCCCAGCTCCATCCCAGCTCCCGGTGCCTCTTCCTGCTGGGCGTCAGAATCGCCTTAACCGCAGATCAGATTAAGGCAATAAAACCCTTAAAGGAAGAAAACCCTCGGGGCTGGGGCTGGGGCTGAGCAGCCGCGGGGCCAGCGGGGAGCTCAGCTCGCCCTGGAGGCGGCTTTGCCTTTCCTGCTTTGGCTCTTGCCAGGCTCAGCGGGGCCGGGATCAGGCTGGAAGTGCTGCCTGTGCCTGGGCTGGGTTTGGGCTCCAGCCCCGCTGCAATTCCTCCTGCCCAGCACGGATCCAGCATGGATCCAGCACTCCTTAGATTTACAGACACAAAATCCCAGAATCCCAGACCGGTTTGGGTTGGAGGGACCTTGGGATTCATCTCATGCCACCCCCTGGGCAGGGACACCTTCCACTGTCCCAGGCTGCTGCAGACCCCGTCCAACCTGGCCTTGGACACTGCCAGGGATGGGACATCAGTGTCCCACCCCCAGCCAGCCACAGCTCTGCCACTCCAGCCTCAGGAGGTTTGGGTCTGTCCCTCTCCTCTTCCCAATCCCAGCAGTGTGAGGATGCTCCTCCTTCATCCCTCATCCTCTGGACACTCCAACCTCCCTGCCAGGGGATTTTCCATGAACAGCTCTGGACTTTTAAGGCTGCTGTCAGCCCCCAGCCCAATCTGAAGAGCACAATCAGACCCCCAAACTTCTCAGGGATGATTTTTCCCCCACAGGGAACGGCCCTTTCTGGCCCATCCTGTGCCTTCTCCCAGACCCCTGGAGCAGCTCAGCCCCTTCCTCCTGAGTGTCCCCACTCCAGCTCTTCCCTGGCTGTCCCCAGAGCCCCCCAGCCCCCTCCCAGGCTTATCAGCACCACCCTGGACTCTAACACTGCTCTCAGCCCCCAACCCAATCTGCAGATCTCAATCACCCCTTAGTACCAATCAGACCCCAAAACTTCTCAGAGATGATTTTTTCCCCCACAGGGAGTAACTCTTGCCTGCAGACCCCTGGAGCAGCTCGGCTCCTTCCCACTGGCTGTCCCCAGAGCCCCTCAGCCCCCTCCCAGCCTTATCAGCACACTGCTCTCACTCCCCAACCCAATCTGAAGAGCATGATCACCCCTTGGTACCAAACAGACCCCAAAACTTTTCAAGGATGTTTTTCTCCCCACAGGGAGCGGCTCTTTCCCGCATATCCCGGATCCCCAGAGCGGCTCAGCCCCTTCCTCCTGGGTGTCCCCACTCCAGCTCTTCCCTGGCTGTCCCCAGAGCCCCCCCAGCCCCCTCCCAGGTTTATCAGCCCGGCCCAAGGCGATCGCACGTTCCAGACTGATCCCATACCGCATCCCCGTCGCCAGGACAACGGCAACACCCGGCCCGGCGTGCCTGCATCTGAAAGCTCAGAAGATTATCCGTCAGCAATACAAACACTCCGCTTGGGCGCCTGCCAGGCTCTGCGGTGAGGCACGGCACCCTGCAGTGGGTGAATCCCCTGAAAACTCCGGGAATTCACCTGAATCCCGGCAATTCCCACGCAGCGGCCGCCCCCGCGCAGCTCGCACCTTCCACGCCGCCAGTTCCCGAGGCTGAAGGCTCGGCCTCGCCTGGACTCGGGGCTGGGGGGGTTTGCCGGGGGTGGGAAGGGAGGCAGGAGGGTTTGAGGCAGCTCCATTCCAGCCTCAGACATTGGAATGTTTTCCCAGCGCTGCAGGAACGTGCTCGGGCACAGCGAAGAGGTGGCACCGGGGATGCTCTGGGTTCCAGAGGATATTTAGGAGATCCAGAAGTGAATCCAGCTCCTGGTCCTGCACTGGGGACAAAGCCCCAGCCTGGCAGGGACTGGAATGGGATGAGCAGGACATCAAGCAGGATTCTGGGATCTTGGGAAGGTGTTTGGCTGAGCAATCTGGCAAAACTTTGATCATCCCCCACCGAGCCGATCCATAACCTCCTTAGATCCTTTGGTCAGGATCAAATCTGGGTCAGGAAAGATGCAGGGAACAGGAAAGACACTCGAGTGAATGAGGAAAATAAGGAGAAGTGGTGTCTCCATCTCCCTTCCCCTCCCTAAAAAGCTGTGTATGGAATCAGGGAATCAGCTTCTCACTGACACAAAACTGCTCCACAAATGCAGATCCTTCCCCCCTTTGCTTCCTGCAGGAATGCCAGCAGCTCCAGGCTGCTAAATATAAACCTGGGAGAGGAGAGGAACTGAGAGAGGGGTAAAAATAGCCCCGGGCTCGCTGCAGCCTCTCCTGCCACGCCCGAGCTGCTCCCTGCTCCTGGCCTCGCCTCCCCGGGCTCATTTTTCCAGCTACACCTGGACCTGAATGGGATCTGCTGCTGGGAGTTCACATTAAAGCTGGGATTTATGGGATTGTGCTTGTCCTCAGCCCTTGGTTCCTCCCCAGCAGGAATTCACCCTGTCCCATTCGGATACAGGACCCCAAAGCTGGGATTTACGGGATTGTGAGCTGGGATTTATGGGATTGTGCTTGTCCTCAGCCCTCAGCTCCTCACCAAGAGGAATTCTCCTTCCCCAACAGGAATTTGCCCTGTCCCATATGGATACAGGATCCCAAAGCTGGGATTTATGGGATTGTGAGCTGAGATTTATGGGACTGTTCTTGTCCTCAGCCCTCGGCTCCTTCCCTGACAGGAATTCACCCTGTCCCATGTGGACACAGGATCCCAAAGCTGGGATTTATGGGATTGTGATTGGGGATTTATGGGATTGTCCTTGTCCTCTGCCCTCAGCTCCTTCCCCGACAGGAACTCGCCCTGTCCCATGTGGATACAGGATCCCAAAGCTGGAATTTGCTGCAAGCAAAGCACCCACAACCTTGGTGCCAGGGGGAATGTGGGGTCAGGCTGGGGCAGGAAATGTGGGGTTCCAGGGGGAATTCAGGGTCGGGCCGGGCAATGTGGGGTGCCCCTCAGCTCCCCGGGGTTCCAGGAGCTTCACCCACCCTCCAGCCGCATTCCTTGTGGGAGAAAGAAATCCCTTTTTACAGCTGCTGTCCCCGGCACGGGTTTCAAAGGAAGAACTCCTAGCGACCGCCTTTTGTTGTGTTTAATTTTGTTTAATTTTGTTGGGATTTTTTCCCCCCCCCACAGTGTCCTAAAGGAAGCGGTGGCGTTTATTGACTTTCGGAGGGAAAGTGCCACTTGTTAAGCAAAGCGATGACATCACTTTTGGTTTTACAGCCTGGCAGGAACAATTACAGCAATCCCTGGATGCTGCCGGGGATGCAGAGCTGGATAATTAACAGCAGGCAGGAACATGACGTTGCACGGCGGGACACGAAGGGAAGGAGCAATTTCGCACGGCAATGAGGAATTTAGGCATCAACGGGCAAAAAAATGAAATCACCCGGCTTGGAACCCGGCCAAAAGCCAGGATTAAAGCCAGCAGGGCGAGTGATCTGCATTTACTGGAAGTGGGGTGGAGATAAATACCCGGCTGAAACACTTCAAAGAGCCCCAAAGGTGAATCCCAGCGGGAAAGATCCTCACGGGAGCCAGACAAGGAATTAACGATCCTTTAAACGCTGCCCTCAAGGCTGTGTCCGGAAATCACCTTTACAGCTCCTCGGTGAACTGTTCCCCCCGGGAATGGATCTCTCCTGCGTTTCTACAGCTTCCCTGCTCTGGAATTCCTGAGCCAGGTATTTTAGGCATCACCAGAGTGTGAAACTGTCCCCTCCCTCCTCCAGCAGGCTTTGGAAGCAAAGCTTTCCAGCACTAATTATTGCCTCTCAAAAATGATCAATTCTCTGTATTTTTCCTTACCCTTTTACCAGATTCCTGCCCCCATTTCCCAGCCGAAAGAGAGGAAAAGTTTGCTTCTTCTAAACCGGTTTTTGTTTGTTTATTTATTTATTTTTTAATCCCCGGGGAGATTACTAGTTGTGTTTACAAGGCAAACTGAAAAGGCCCATTCAGCTCTCGGTGCTCCTGGCTGTGAGGTGGCATCGATTCACTCCTGCAAGGCCCGGAGAAATGGGGAATTCTGCTCCTCGCAGAGCTTTTATTTGCTCAGCAAACACGGCAATCCTGCAATGCTGTGTGTGGCTGCAGGGCCCAACCAACCTCGCTGGAATTCACAAAATCTCCAGGTTGGAAGAGACCTTATTGAGGCTGTGTCCTCTGGTTCTGCCAGGACGTGCCCCTCCCCACATGGCCTGGACACAGAGCCAGGGGCAGCAGAGGCTCCCCAGGGCCAGCCAGGTCCCGCTGAGCTTCCCCTGAGCTCCAGCACGGAGGAGGAGGAGGGAGAAGCTGCCTGGGGTGGGAGAGATTCCATCCTCTC